ATGCATTTCCGTTGAGTAAGACTGTTTAACTTTTAGATTATTTTAGTTAATTATTAAAGAGCGTTATTTATTTATCTATTATCCCTATCTTAAATGGTGGGGTAAAACTGTTCTACCCATGTTTGTTTTGTCCTCACTCTTATAATGAATCACATAATTGCACACAATTTTCCATACATGATATAAAATTGTATTTGAAAACAATTATAAAAGTTAGTTCAGTATATGTGTAATATTTTAGATTATGCTAATTTTGTTGTGAAATTGTTTTTAAATATAGTTTCTTTCATCTTAGAAATGTGTGCTTAAAAACGTATAAATGCAACCTCTATAATTATTGTGTCTGTGTTGTTCCAAACTTTGCAAATTCATTTTCATTATTTGTTAATACAGGCTGTTAGTTACAAATAAAGTATTAAATCTATGAAAGAAAGAAATAAAACTAGATTTTTGTTGATTTTGTTGATCAGCAATTTCAATTTTATATATTCAATTAGTTGTAGCTTCTTTTAATTATCATCAATTATTTATATTTGCCATTTATCATTATTTATTGAAGCAAGTACAGTATTGGCCAAAATGTTTGTATGTTTTGTAACAGGTAAGATCATTATTATTAAGATGGAATAAAAATACACTTAGTGCTGTGAAATTGAGAAATGCATGTTATGTTAAACATCTACATACGTAATTTGTAGTATAACAGCAAACAATTTTATCAGACACCTGGAGAACGATGTGTAATTCAGCATTTCACCTATCATAACAAAACCTTACCAAAATATACATAACCTCGCAATATAAATCAAACTATTACAACTAGCATCTGAAACCTTATATCAGTTCATATTAAACATTCAGTATTTGATTGGTCCTCCTTGTACTCTAATAACATCCGTTAGCCGACGTGGCATGCTGTCGATGAGGTTATTGATGTAATTCACCATTATTTAATCTCAACTTGTCACTAGAAGGCGTTGCATCTCAGCTACGGTAGCTGGTTTTGGGTCTTGATTAACAATTTTACAGTTCAATTCTACCCAACACTTCTCAAAGAGATTACAGTTTGGAGACTTTGCTGGCCATGTCAATATTGTAACGTCTTCCTGGTCGAGATAATCCTGTACAATACGCATACTGTGGGCAATGGCATTGTCGTCTTGAAACACAAAGTTATTGCCACACTTTGCCCTAGCTAATGGCAGAAATATCGCCTCCATGTGATGCCTGTAGGAGGCGACATTGATGTTTAAAGGCTAAGATTTATTAGTTCAACTATCTGTGGTATTTTGTGATCCACTTTGATTTTCCAATCAAAAGATCAGTAATGCTAATGACTTGAATTTTCAAGAAAAATAACTTTATTCTGAAACATTTCTCCCCACTTTAACTCTTGGTTACTCTCCAACCCATTGCTTTGCTATAATATAAGCCTAAGGTTTTTAATAAAATAGTGAAATCATAAGTGAAAAACAAAACCTTGGATAAGTGTAATTGTAAAAAAATGACAAGCTCTAGGTAAATATAAAACTATACTTTAAATCCTAAAAAAATGCGCAATAGCATTGTTTGCAGGCGATACCCAGTGGAACTGCACAGCGACCAAAGTCAAACATTTAAAACAATTTATTTGCAAATTTCACTACGTTAATATTACAAAGTTACAAAATATCAATTCATAAATATTTTCAAGTACGGGATTGTTGAAATTGAATTAGAAATATCATTTTTACTTATATTGTGAATTTGATATGCAAGCATACCCTCAGTCCTGAAGAAGTGGCCACCAGTCGTAATAGAATTTGATGGTTCCTTTCATATTTGTCACAGTATAATGTCTTTGTCCTTCATAAAGAGCCTGGAATGAAAAATGTGTGTTCTTCTTGAAGTTTAATTCATGTTAATTACTATAAAGGGTTACATGGTATGTATCTTAGTTTAAGGGGATCTATTTTTTGCCAATTGTATACATATCAGTGGATGCACGGAGTTAAAGTTATTTAGAGTTTTTAATATATTTTTGATTTAGTACTTTTTCAGAGACCAGGTAGTTTATTTTGTAATTTGTATATTGCATTATGCTGAATTGTAATTATAGTATCTACGTTAGAGGTTTTATTCTTGATTTGTTGTTCTCTGTTACAGAGTTCTTGTAAGTGGTGTATCTTTCGATGTTAAAGTGTTTTCATTTAACTATTACCAGGCGTGATGTGTTGGCTTATCTTTAACTAAAAGGGTAGGTAATCTGTAATAAGATTGTTATTGTTGTAGTACATATATTATTGATTATATTCCTGTATTTCATTTTTGCATCTCTCATCAAGGGTTCTTATGTCTGTGAGATGTGTGTCTTTAGAAGCCAGAAAGTGTTAACACAGTTCTTGAGCAGGACACATACAAAGTGTATTGGTTGCACAATTAAATTTAATTGTCAACATGGAACACTGCTAAGGTAGGGAAGGGAGGAAAATGTGGTATATGTAATACGATTAGAATTATTCTGAATATTTTTTCTTTGTTCTGAATATGTGCAGGTTTCACTTAACACACGGTCAAGAAAAGCGTTAAGTTGACCTTGTTCAAAGTTACCTTTATTTCTTTGTTATTCTCAAAGTAGGTAATACTTATTTACTGCGCATAAGACAAGATTACTCAAAACATAAACTCCCCTTTAATAAAGTTTATGCATTTTGTATTTAACTTCAAGTCCAGTTTAGTTATTCAGTTAATTAAGAGTTTTATTATTATTATTCAGTAATTGATATCTTGGGCGAATATCCAGTTGTTCAACATACCTACTCAGTAAAGCTCGAACTAGTATCCAGTTTACCTGAATATCCCATTTCTTTAATAATGAGGAACAGTGAATTATTGAAAAAGGTTCAGGTCATGTCTGCTAGAATGATACTTGGGAAGGAAAGGATGTCTTACGAAGACAGGTTAATATCTCTAAACTTATTTTCTCTTAAAAAAAAGAAGAGTTAAGGGATGTCTGATTGAGATGTTCAAGAATATTAAGGAAATTAAAAGTAGCGATACCTCTTTTTTTTCGAATACAGTGGTCACAATCGTTGGACACGGAGGAACAAAATAACTTTTGGCTGGGTAAAAGTCATCCTCTCGCTCAAGCAGTAAAAGTGTTTTTTTTTCGGTGTACTCCTGTTTCACCCCACATCTAAATTTATGGCATTCGATCCATAGTTCCCAGCATCTCTGAGTAGGACCATTTGTCCAACGGGGCCACTTTTCTGCTCCAAACACTACAGTCATGAATAGTATTAACCTTATTATTGCGTTATTTTTCTCCCTCAAGTACTATTGACGTATAAATAACATTAGGCGAGAAGAAGAGAAATAGATATTTTTCAGCATCCCAGTTATTTTAAACTTTAAAATGCTAAATTTAAAGTTTAAAATTTTAAACCCAAAAATTGCCATGAAGAAAATGAAAGTGTAAGTCATCCCCAGCTTTGACAGTTATACTTTTCTAATTGGGTGTTTGGACTTTGGAATTGGTTTCCTTTGGATGTAGTGGATACATTGAATTTAAGGGAGTTTTATTCTCACTTGGAAATGGCACTTTGATTTCTCTCAATGGTGGAACATCAGCGTGTGCACGTACCACAGAAAGAAGCTCGATATATATTTAAATCATCAAGGCTGGATTCGAGTTTTTTAAGTGGATGGGACGACCTAGATGGACCAATAGGCCTCTTTTCATTCTTGAATGTTATGCTATTTTCCTTACGTCGTTGAAGGAAAGCTATATTGACTTGTTGTTAGCAAAATGAGTATTAATTGAGCGTCTTAAAAACAACGCGGTCTTGCGCATTCTCTTTCTAATCTCTTTAAACTGAAATGTTACCAAGTTGCGTATGTGAGAAATTGACTCAAACTCGGAACTGATACCCTACCCCATGATAGCGATAAATTGGAATTGATGGATAGTGGTCGTCTACTAGTGTTGATGAGAATGGTCTATTTTGTCCTAGTATCTGAGTAAATGTTAAATGAGTGATTCTACATTCTGATGTCAACATTGGACATATATAGATATCTGTAACAAAGGGGCCTGGCATGTTCTGGTGGTTAAGTCTCTTGAATCGCAATCTATGAGTCAGAGAATCAAACCATGTTACCGAACATCGCTTGCCCTTTCAGTTTTAGGGGTGTTATAATGTTGTAGTCAATCCCACTATTCGTTGGTAAAAAGTAGCCTAAAAGTAATTGGTGGTTGATGTTGACTAGCTGTGTTTCTTCCAAGCTATCATTCAAAAATTACGGACGGTTCGCACAGCTAACCCTTGAGTAACTTTGCGCAAAATTCAACAAACAAACCTTTAAAAAATTAACAACAACCTGATAGGATTGGCCAGCTTCCATTCATCTTATGTTTTCATAGGAATAAACAAAACTTGTTTTTCTTTGGAGTTTAGCTAAGTATTATGAACACTTTTAATCTCTTTAAGTTCTGTAATTCACTTCAAAGATACATTGAAGTGAAATAAAGTGAAAAATTCTGGTTGAGGACATTCATTATATTTAGAATGGTCTGAATTATTGAATTTCGTTTCAGACCTTATAACTTATTATCAGACAAATAATTTCCATAACAATGAGGTAAGAGGAATGATTAACATTATATAATAAAGGTTTTGCCTTTTCATAGTTATAATATTACTCTTTCCGGTTATCGTTTCATTGTTTTGTGCAGTTAAAACGCCTACATTAGAAGGATGGTGCTTTTTTTTGGATTTATTTTACTTGTATAAAATATGTGTTTAGAGTAATAAAAAATAAAGGTTTTTAATCCAGGGAATTTACTTTCTATTTCAGCTCTCTCCTGACTAATGTAGGCCATCTTAAAATATTTTAGATTATTGGGTTCTTTTATACGTGATTATTTTGCTTTCATAAACAACTGAAATAATAAACTAGTTTTAGTAATTTAACAGGTGGCGTATTAATAATATAGCTCTCTCATAGGGTTGTTAGAGAAACAGCTATACACGTTCTTTGAGAAAGAGGAGCACGTGGAAATTAACTTAGAAATGGGAAGGCCTGGTAAGTATTATTCTTCATTCCTTGACCGTTTCATACTGTTATATATACAATTGTCATGCTAATTTTAAATATATGCGAATTAATATTTCTTTCTTCACTCGAAGTATTAATTATTATGAGTTATAAACACTGTTTTATTTTTTATAAGCTTTTGTTCCACAGAAGTCTTAGTTTTAAGTTTTAGGCCTAAGCCCATAGTGTTCTTTCCATTCAAATTAGTTTTGGTGAAGTTCAGTATTAATAACACTAAGAGTACACGCTGCAAGACTTAGAAAATATTAAAACACTTAGTTACATGATATAGATCAATGACACCTCCAAAGAAAAATTTGCTTTTCAATATTTTCGTATGCTCATGAGTAGGGGGTCAAACAGTGCAATGCCAATAGTCACAAACCTTTACTTAGTGCCATTCAAAATTAACTCAGTATCAATGACATAGATGAAGGAAAAATCAATAAATTACTTAAATTTGCAGATGATATTAAGGTTTTGGGTGTTGCTAGCTGTGAATGTGAAGAGGATGCTGTTGATTTACAAAAAGTTTTACTGTTAGATCATTTAGTGAGTTGGGCAAATAAATGGCAGATGGGTTTTAATTATAATAAATGGAAGATAATACATGTCGGTTATCATAATTTGGATCGGAATAATCTTAATAATGTTATCAAGGAAAGGGATCTTGGTGTAATAGTCGATCAGTCTCTAAAGCCATCACAGCAGTGTGCTGTTGTAGTGGTAGGGCAAATAGGATTTTAAGTTGTATCTATAGAAATATTGAATACAAGTTTAATGAGGTTATATTTTTATTGTACAGGTCACTGGTTAGACCACATTTGAAATGTTTCGTTCTTGGGCTCCTTATCTAAAGAAGGACTTTGAATTTTTGGAAAGGGTTCAGAGAAGAGTTACCAGAATGGTAATTTGGATGGAAGGGTTGTCATACGATGTGAGGGTGAAATCTCTCAAATTGTTTTCTCTTGAAAAAAGAAGATTTAGGGGGGGGATCAGATTGAGGTGTTTAAAGGGAATTGGTTATTTTGATGTATCATCTGTTTTTATATTTAACAATGATAATAGTAGGACTAGGAGACATAAATATAAATTTTGGCAAGGTAGGAGTCATCTTCAGTTAACTCTTTCAGCACAGGCTCGGTCCCTGAGACTGGCCTCGTAAACATTTTGTGCTTGTTATAGGTTTCATCCTATAACTTTTAAATCAGTAAGCAAATGAAAGTTGGCCGATTATCAGTAAACATTACAATGCTTTGATACGCAAAATATAAATTTTTTGATTAAGTCTTGAGTTTCATAAAAAAATATTTTTCTCATATCTTTTTTTTCACATGTTGC